ATATATGAAGAACACACTGATGGTTGCCTGAGGCAGTGGTGGTGGATAAAATAGATAAAAGAGGTTAGGGAGCCTGAGGGAGGCAACCAATCCATGAGTCTCTCTCTCTCATCATATTTCTCTCTCTCTGTCTCTCCCCCTCCCTGCCACTCTTCCTAGAAATCAATGAAAAAAATATATATATCTTTGGGTGAGATTTAACAACAACAACTACAAAAAGAGGGGAAGAAAGAAGTACAAGTTTCCAGTCATAAAATAAGTCATGTGATGTATAGCATGGTAACTATAGTTAATTATATTGTACTGCATACTTGAAAGTAGCTAAAAGTGTGGATCTTGAAAGATCTGACCACAGGAAAAAATTTTTGAAACTATGTATGGTGATGGATATTAATACACATACCTGACAAAAATTTCATATTCAGATTAAAGCACTCCTACAAAACAATAAAAAAAGGCTAGAACTAAGACACTTCACGAAATGTAATGACAAATATAATAATCATGACAAAAGGTACTCAGCATCATTTGTTATCAGATGTTTAAATGCAAGTTAAAACAACATTAGTTTTTCATCAAAACTAATAGCATTTCAACCCACCAGAGAGGCCAAAATAAAACATCATAGCATTTCAACCCACCAGAGAGGCCAAAATAAAAGACTATCAGCATAATATCCCAAGAATGTGGCATACACCCTATCCTATATAATAAAAGCCTAATATGCAAATCGACGAATGGCCCAATGACCTGGCAAAATGACCAGTCGCTATGACGCACACTGACCACCAGGGGGCAGATGCTCAGTGCAGGAGCTGCCCCCAGCTTGCAGGCCCCAGGCCGGCCAAGGTGGGTGCCAGCAGAGTCCCCCAATCGCCCTGCTGGTCACCCCGCAGATCTGCCCTGATCACCGGGAAGGCCTAGGGGCCCTACCTGTGCACAAATTTCGTGCACTGGGCCTCTAATTCTCATATAATGATGGTGGAAATGTGAAATGGTTCAAACATTTTGCCAGTTTCTTAAATAGTAGGCCTACAATTTGACCAAGTATTTCCATGTCTAGATATTTACCCAAGAAACATTCTGATTCATAATAGCCAAAAAGTGTAAACAATGTAAATATCCACCAATAAGAGAGAAAAAACAAAATGTGACATGTACAATGAAATACTCCTCAGCAATAAAAAGAAACTACTGAGACACACAATATATGTTGACAAACAGAAGATAGACACAAGAAATTTTCTGATTCCAATTACATGATGTTCGTGAATAGGCAAAACTTATTTAAGTCAATGGAAGAACTAATTTAAGCCCATGGTAAAAAAGTGGTTACCTGATGGAGAACATGAGATGGTATTGGATAGACTGAGGAAAAACTACATGTATTTTTTTTAAATATATTTTATTGACTTTTTACAGAGAGGAAGGGAGAGAAATAGAGTTAAAAACATTGATGAGAGAAACACTGATCAGCTGCCTCCTGCATACTCCTGACTGGGGATGTGCCCGCAACCAAGGTACATGCCCTTGACCAGAATCGAACCTGGGACCTTTCAGTCTGCAGGCTGATGCTCTATCCACTGAGCCAAACCAGTTAGGGCTACAGGTATTTTTTTTTTAGTCAGTGGTTATATACAATGTACACAACTGTCCAAAAACATTAATCAAACTGATCACCTAATTCTGTGCATTTTCTTGTAATCTACACTTTAGAGTTAAAAGAAATTTTTCTTACTTTCTGGTCTCTAGTTATACAAAAATTCCTCCCACAACTAACTTATTATCTCTTCCTCTCCT